TTTTCTAACAACATCTTAAAGGTCTCAGCCCTAATAAACTGAGGCAACATTTGTCTTAAACATCTGAACTCTCAATAAACCTCAGTATCTCATGTGTTCTCATTGTAGTTGTAAACCTTTTTGTTTGTTTTCATGTCAGGTTTGTGAGTGAAAGAGATCACACCGACTGCTTCAGTGTAAAGAATAATCTGCTGTTGTGCCCTTAACAGTTTCATTTTTCAACACATGAAGCTAAAACACTAAATCAAAGCATAAATGAATGAAACAATCAAAGTGAGGTCGCAGCTTCAAAAGATTCAAGCTTTTCTCTGTAGACTAGATAAATCACAGCTATAAATAACTACGTTGGATGCTCAACGCTGAACTTATAATGACCTGATTTAATAAAACCAAATTTTTGAGGAGCATGAAAAACAAACACATCTACTGATCATGTGTTAAGGCCTAGGCTGGTACACTGAGGTGTTTGGGCCTTTGAAGTTATGGAACCAATAGTCTTCATATATTAGACAGGCTGCAACAACATATTGGCTTTTATTGGCTTTTTAGTAAAGAGAATAGAAGCTTTCCCATCATTTTACTGCTTTTATAATTTGTTTAACTTACTTACTTAGTAGGGGTGAAACAATAAATGTATCTGTATCGAATCATTCAATATGCACTTGTATCGAACAATAAGTTTTTATTTTATCAGCTTGTCTTCTGAAGATGCTCTGTGTTGAAGGCTCAGTGGATCTGTGTTTGACTTCTTTGTCGAGCGCAGATCCACTGAGAATCTTGCTGTTTCAGCAACATTTAATTTAAAAACTGTACTTTTGAGGTTAAACAAATGTTCAGAATTAATTTAAATAAATTACAAGTTAAGAAGGGAGTGGAACTTTCTCTTTTTTTGTATCAAATATTTATTGAACTGTGAGACTAAAGTACTGAACCAAATCATGAATTTTCTGTATTGTTGCACCCCTATTAAAAGGCACATTGTGTAGGATTTGTTGTTTTCAGCGACATCTAGTGGTTGAATCATCCTCCCTGGTCCTCCCCCACCCCCACCCCC